TCATGAATTCATGGGAAAGATAGTCCTCTTTGGAGGTTCGTAGAAGGCGGCGTCTTCATGGATGCCTACCTCATGAACTGAGAACGGTTGTAAATCCCCTTTGATGCAATGTTCTTGTCCTTCTTTGAAATAATGGATAGACTGATCTAGTGATGATGGAACCATATTATGCTCTTGCAACCACAATTGACCAAGTAAGGCATTGATAGAGGTCTCTACGTCGACGATATAGAAATTTGCGATTGTTACTAGCTCTCCAACCTTCATTAGTAGTGTGCTCGATCCAATAGCTCTTTCTCCTTTTTGGTTAAATCCTCTTAGCATCATCATATCGGCAGTGAGCTCTTGAGTGTCAATGTCGAAGTAAGCTAACATCCGTAGACTCATTAAGTTGAGTGACACTTTTGGATCTACCAAAACTCTGGAAAGCATGAATTTGTCAATGTTAACTAAATGTAGAGCGGGCAGTTATGATCGGTATTACCATGCAACAGATCTTCATCAGTAAAAGTTATATTAGGTTGTTCCTTTAACGAACAAACTTCATTCGAGGATGTGCTGGCCAACTGAGCTAAGCAAATCTCTAGGTCAAGCAAGGCTGTAACCAAAGCTTCCCTCATCTCCTTTTACAGGAGCAGAGCATCGTAGATGCTCAGTTTGGTTGATAACCTCCTAATATGAGCTAGTACATTATAATCCACTTTATACGTGCCTCCAATTTTACTTAAAATAGGTATTTCTTCTATTTTTAGAGGCGGCTCTTTGTGGGTAACTATTTGTTTTCCTTTGTCTATTAGAGCCATTCTCGGGGGTAAGACCTTTCCACTCCTCAGATTTATGTAATATCTTCTTTTTCTTCTACTTGTGTTGTTGTAGGCAAAACTTCCAACGCTTCTTCTATATCATAGAAATCCAAGTTGATGGCAAGCAGTGCTCCTTGGCACCCGAGGACTGGCTCCATGCTCTCGAAACTGTCATAATTGACATCGTTGTCATCTTCTTCATTCTCATTGACTGGTTAATCAGACTTAAGTACTATTTGAGGATCAGTTTGAGAATTGAGATTGGGGCTAGATTGGTCAAAGTCACTTAAATCATCACTGGAGACAGTTAAAATGTAGCCGAAATCATAATCATTATATTCCACAAACCCCGGAGGGGGAAAAAGATAATCATACATGGTCAGGGGTTCAAAAATTATCTCCTCGAATTCGAGATAACCAATCTAACAGAGGCAACCCCTATCATACCCCTCGCACTATCTGTCTTCACGATCACGTCCTTCTTCTTGTATGGCTGCAATGACTTCTTTGACAAAATCATCAACTTTAGTTTGACAGGCTGTAGACTTTGAGCAGCGGCTTGTGGTGAAGCGATCTAAATCTAATCGAATATCTTCTTAGAAGTTCTACTCCAAACTATGCTCCAGCCATCTTCCTCTGAATATGGCTCTACTGGGGTAATTGGCTTGGCCGAAATCATATTTACAGAACCTCTTTCAAATTATTTTAAATATTGAATAGGAATTATTATATTCCCTTCCTTAAGATTCCTCTCGAGCCAATCATTGAAACTGTAAAATCTTTCTATGGTATGACCGAGTAGCCTGTGGTATGGACAGTAGTTGGTTGGTCTTTCTTATCAACCTCATTTGGCTTTTTTGGCTCGGGTAGTCTTAATTTGGACCTTTTCATCAAACTCCTGACATCCTTGGCACAATTCATATGTGAAAGAATGTGCTCTCTTAATCCATTTTGTGATTGTCGAACTTTGTCTGTTATCTGTTTTATATGCCCTCTGCTGTTGGCTGAAGTGACCATACTGCTGAGCGGACTGATGTTGAGGGTGGCTATACTGCTATTGCTGGTGAATCTAATGGGACTACTCGACTGGAATTATTATTGGGTGCCTTCCTTTATCAACTGTCGCAGTTGTCCCAGAATTCTTCTCAAATATCTTAGTTGTCCTCAACTTCTCTGACTTTTCTTGTCAATCCATATGCTTGATTTCCTCCTGTAAGCTGCTAGCCTTGCTGGATAACTTTTTAAATGACTTGATGGTGAGCCCCTTAAGCATGAAAGCTACTGGCCCATGCATGCTATTGAGAAGAATCTCAATTGCATGTTGCTCCTGTAGCTGAGCTTCACACTTTATGCTTAAGTTTCTCCACCTCAAGAAGTAATCCACCAGGGTCTCATTGGGCTTCTACCACTCAACCATGAGATATCTTATCGTAATGTGGTGTTGCACTCCAACAAATCTCTTTACAAACAACTGCTCCAACTTAGCGAACATCTTCAATGATTTTTGGGTAGCTCGATATACCAATCAAAGGTGATCCCTAATAGGCTGCTGAAAAACTAACAAAAGAGCAAGGCTTCATTACCTTCGCTATTGCCACAACTAGCACAAAAATGTGCTACATGCTGTCTGGGATTTCTAGTCCCATTGAACATCTTGAAGTTTAGTGACTCAAAACCTTTAGGTAGGGCACCGCATCAAACTCCTCTGGGTAAGGTGTACCCTTGAAATTGATGCACCACACTTAGAATGGGCTAAGGCCTGTCAAACATGCTGTTCGACCAATTGTTTGATATCCTTCTCCGGTATTACACTCTGTTGAGAATACTTCTTCTGCTGATCATCTATGTTAGCAGAGGCAACTTCTCTCCTCTCATCTGTAATTTGAACAACCTCTGGTTGGTTGACCTCTGGAGAAGCTAACTGCTGTGATTGAGATTGTCCATGAATTGTAGCCATGGCGCGATGTTGGTGGTCATCTCTTCCATTCTCTTATCCATGTAACTGATCTATTCATCTCTTAGCAGGATAGCTCTGCACAAGTCATCAATGACGTTCCCTTCAACAAGTGGCTTGGCATCGCATGCAGATCAAACGGCTCTAGTTTCACTGACATTAATGTCCATGAACTCTTGATCGAGATAATCAGTAAAATAAAAACTTTCATCATCATTGATAACTACCCCATGCTCTCTAGCTAACTAAGAAATCTCGGCTCCGAGCTTTTCAACTTTTTCTTCAATGATTTTTTTCCTGAATCTTTTTGAGATCAAGAGGACTCTCTTGAACATCCCCTTCCGTACATTAGACTTGGTAGCACTAGCGGCAACAACATTCGTTACTTTTAACCTTTGCTTCATCCACGAACTCGCAATGAGGGCTTGTTCAACAGTGCTGGTGTGGCAACCATGGGTACCCATACCTTCTTCTTTTCCAATGTTGCCTTGAGACAGAGTGTCTCTACAAAGGAATTGGTGTATTGAAGAGAGGTATGCTTCCTGCGGTGCAGACCAAATATATCATATGGTAACTTCTCCCCTTATTCTTCTTGGAACATCTATGTGAAAAATAGTAGGAAGTACTCTTGAACCTAGTCGTGACTTGTCCGATCGACGTCCTAAATGCCCTGAAGCAATAGCCACTGTATTTGTAACGGTACTAACTCGACTTCCCAGGAGGAATCTGGCAAGAAAAACAACTGGCAGAACTTGAACTAATTTTTGGGACTGACGGACATATCTGAAATCTTTCAAAATTTATTTCTTCATTTGGGGTGATATTGTGCATCCTATTCGCTTGCATAACTCAGTAGTGTAACACCCTTTCTTAGCAGCCAATCTCTCAAATACCGTACGGACTCTGGTGATAGGAGCGGGCTTCTCATTCTCCTCACCATGACCATGAAGTATCAGCAGAGTAGCAGAAATACTGTGGATGCTTTCATATCCAGTGTATCCATCAGTAGATGAATCCTATTCCCTTAGAGGAGAGGAGAGGTCTCATTCAATCTGAGTTAGTACTGTTGAGGAATCTCATCAATAGCTGTCATCTCGGTAAATTGGGCCTCAGTGGCTTTCCGAATCTCTTGACTACAATTTCTTCATTGCGACCTGGTTAACGGTGCAGTCCTTGAACTGGAACCAATCTAAAAAATTGAAGTTGGGGTGGTAAATCCATTGATTGAATTTTTCACGATCATAATTTATTTTCCTTTGGCAGACACAATGACATGCACGGTAACTGTAAATCCGACGGTAGTAGGTGTAACAACTCTTGCAAGAACGATAGACTTAGCGAACGCCGCGACGACAATAATCTTCACCTTCTTGCAAGGTGGGAAGTCTTGGGGGCAGTTCAAGTTGAACTCTATGGACGGCTCTTGTACTTATGGGGCGACAACCTTCTTGATGAAAAACATGGCTTTTCTAAGCACGACCTCGAGGTCATCAAATCTGGCGTGAAACTTGATCATGGGGGCGACGTTGCGGACTTCACGGCTTGTTGGCAAGCTGCAAGAGTAGGTGAGAGTTGAGAACACCATTGCAGGAGCTTCAAAAAAAAAAAATTCTGAGGGTTAGCATCAGCCACAGCTTTGTAACTTTAGTGCGAACACTAAAAATTAACAAAGGTCGTTCTGTGGACTGGGTACATCCTTTTCTTATTATTTTAGTTTTTAAACTTATTATTTGCTTATGATTAGATAGTTGCAATTAACAAATTAAACGAGCATGAAGAGACACAAGAACATGGCTTGATTCATGGAAAAAAAAACAAACCCAGAGAAGATGAAGAAAAACAAAGCTTAGGACCCAGTGCAGGACCAACTTCACAACGCACAATGCCCAAGCAGAACTAGCCCGCCGACACAGAGATTGTCAGCCTCCAGAATGGATATCCTGACACTCGGCTTTAAGAGCTTGCTTAATTTAATATATATATATATATATATATATTTAATGAAAGGAGTGACAAAGACTCTCTACATGTTAAACTGAAATAAAGGTTACAAAGCTATATGGGGCTTGGTTCACAAACAAAAAAACCAAGGTTCACCCAAAAGGGGTTAAGGGCTCCCAAGAGAAAAACAAAAATCCAATGTAGCCTGTCAAAAATCCTTTCCCCATTCAATAAGGCTGAAAAGAAGAAAAGGAAAAGAAACATTACAAAGCAGTAAGGACTCAACGAAACAAAAGCCCTCCCTAGATAGAATGGTTAAAATAAACATCAGTGGACATCCCCCTTCTAATATAAGGCAGATCAGAGAGATCTGCCTTAATCAACCAAGACAGCTCCATAGGAGGGGTAGTATTTACTTTAGGCAACATAGACAAAGCACCTTGATGTGCAAGCCAATTAGCACATCTGTTACCCTCCCTAAAAATATGCTTCCAGATAATCTGAAGGTTGTGAGTCAACTTCATGTGAGTAATTTGCTTAACAACATGTAGAAGAAACCAAGGTGGGGAGATGTTATCTTTTAAGAGCTGGAATAGCCATAAGGAGTCCATTTCCACAATTAGTAGGTTCCATCCCATAACAACAGCTGTTTGAAGAGCCCATACCACAGCTAAGACTTCAGCCTGCAAAGCATTGAGAGCATCAGTGGGAGATTGGAAAAATAGTAGGCATTCCCCAACATTATTTATGAAAATCCCCCCAATACCAGCAGTGTGTCTTCTATAACTCCCATCAGTGTTGCTTTTGATCCAAGGGTAAGTAGGTTTTCTCCAATGGAACATCAAAAATTTTGATTTGGCATAAGAAACTTGAGTATTAAGGATTGGGGAGCACCCAAGAACTTTAATCTTGTACCCCATGAGATTGATTATCTTAAGAGTATATGCCAAGCAGTTGGTAACAATTTGTGTAGCACTTTAGGTTTTCCCCTGATATTTACTGCTATTTATTCCATCCAGATGAACCATGTAGTAATAAAGGGGATTTTTTCAGCATGGTTCTCTTTCCAAACCTTCCAGCAGTCAAGGAAGTTTCCAAAATTCAGTAAATCAGAAGGGAAACTAAGATTAGCAGCTACCTGTGTCCAAACCCCTTGAGCAACAGGGCAAGAGAAAAACACATGATTTAAGAATTCCACTTGTTGGCAACAGAAAGTACATCTTTAAGGTCCTTTTAGACCCTTAAGTTTGAGTATATCATCAATGGGAATAATATTATGATAACATCTCCAGGTGAAGAAGGACATAGGCTGAGGTATTTCACCCACATGGCATTACCCCAATCCTTATGGTACCAATTGATTAATTGGGAATATGCAAATTTGATAAAAGAGGTATGAGGATGATTTTTAGTCACATTTCTATCTAGTTTCTGTGGAGTGACTGGGACCTTAAGAATTTGATACACTTGTTCAGGATTCACCATAGAAGCCAACATGTCTCTATTCCAATGATGATTATTCCAGCAAAGATGAATAGGGGTGTTGATAGCTGAGTCTATAGAGGTTGATGGTTCCAATTTACCCTCAAGAAGCCAATTATCTAACCAAAAATCAACTTTTCCTTCTCCCACATCCCAGATAAAAAGGTCTTCAGCCACACACCTAATATGCAGGAGCTCAGTCCAAATTCTAGAATCCTCAGATTTTCTGCAGATAATTGTTGGATGGGAGTGCTTGCAATATTTTAACTTCATATAGTAAGCCCACAAAGACTTCTGTTCTCTAAATTTTATCCAGAGTTTACAATAGAAGATTTCATGAAGTTGTTGGAAAGACTTAATGCCAAGCCCCCCTGCAGCAAGAGGCAGGCAAAGCTTATCCTAACTAAACCAGAGAGCTTGTTTATAATTGCCTTCCCACAAGAATTTATTCAACATCACCTCAAAAGTTTTCTGTGTGCCTTTTTTCATTTTCAGTATTTGCATAATATACATAGGGAAAGAAGAAGCTAGGATACTTTTGATTAAGGTTAACCTTCCCCCCTAAGAATTAGTCCAATAAGAGATTTGTTTGGAAATTTTTGAAACCACCTCATCAAATTGAGTTTGCTTATTCCTGTCTTTAATCAACTGTACCCCAAGATAAACCAAGGGGCTGGTTGCAGATTTAAAACTAGTGAAATCCTTAATACAGTTTTTGGTAGCAGAATTGAGCTTATTTCTAAAGATAAGTTGACATTTCTTTGAGTTTAGAGAGAGACCAGAGATCTGTTGGAACAAGTTCAGCGAACTGACCACCTTCTTCACTGCTAGTTTTGACTTAGAAAACAATATGAAAAACAATATGAAGTCATCAGCAGAACATAAATGACTTATGGAAAAATTTGCTTTAATAGAAAATCTGAGATATTCTTTTTCAAAAAAATTATGGTTAAGAAGCCTAGATAAGTAGTCCATAACCAAATAGAAAATGTATGGAGAAAGGGGATCTTCTTATTTGATTCCCTTAGTAGCTTGGAAATGCCCTTAAGAATTATCATTAAGAAGAATGATATAAGAAATATTATTAAGCCACATGTGAAGGATTTGGGAGAAGGAATTTTGAAACCCCCAAGCTTTAAGAACCTCCAAGATAAAATTCCAATTGATAGTATCATAAGCTTTAGAAATGTCCAGTTTATATATGAGATTACCCCCCTGCAAGGCTTGTTAATATCCAGAAAGAGTTCCTGTGTAAGTAGCACATTATCAGTAATTTGTCTTCCTGTAACAAAAGTAGACTGATTAGGAGTAATCATCCAAGATAAGTGTGGTTTTAATCTAAAAACCAATAGCTTGCTAATAAGCTTAGACAACACAGTTGTAAGAGAGATGGATCTAAAATGATCCCAGTTAGATTTATGGTCTCCCTTTGGGATTAAAGTTATGGTGGATTGAGTAAAGTAATGTGGAATATCCTCCCCCCTGAAGAAGGCCTAGACAACTTCCACAACATCAGCTTCTACCACCTCCCAAGTTTTTATGTAGAAAGTAGAAGTAAAACCATATGCACCAGCCACTTTGTCACCATAAATAGAACATAAAGCTTTCCAAATTTCTTCCCCAGAAGGAATAAATGTTAAATTTGTCATTAAGTAAGCTAGGGTCAAAGTTTAGGAGAGTAACCTCATGAGGTTCAGATAAAAGATTTTGAAAGTGATCTATAACATCTCTGTGAATTAGATCAGTACCTTGGATCCAAATGCAATTATGATTTTTAATCTTCAGGATGGTGTTGGAGTGTCTTCTTTGTTTAATACAGGCATGGTAAAACTTTGTATTCCTATCCCCATCAACAAACTTTTTGATAACTGCCTTTTGTTTATAAAAATCCTCCTCCCAATGAATAGCTTGAAGCAGATTAGCATTAGCTAATATCAGGTTTTGTTCATCAGAGAGCTGAATGTTTAATTTGTTTCACAGTAGCTTCAACCTCTTCAACTTTTGTTGTAAGGTTGCCAAAACAGTTCCAATTCCAGGCTTTCAGCAATTTAGCAACTTTTTTCTGAAATTGCCATAGTTTAATCCAAGGAGGGAAGGATGAAACAGGTAGCCAGACAGACTTAATAAAGGAAAGGAATTCAGGATGTTCCACCCATACATTAAAGAATCTGAATCTTGGTAAGGTAGCAACAATATTAGAGGATATAAAGATTAGCAAAGGCCTATGATCAAGATGGGAAATAGTAGTCATAATGTTGGTATCTAACCAAACTAATCTATCAATTCTCTCAAAAAGTTTGCCTCTTCTCCAAGTGTCAAGAGGCCCTTGATGTGGAAGTTCAGCAAGGTCAGTGTTCTTGATGTTCATATTAAAGAGTAACATTTGTGTAATATCCACAGTTTTCCCTCCCCATTTTTCATTCAATCTAGCTATACTATTAAAGTCTTCACCAATGATCGAAGTTCCATTAATAGAAGATTTAAGATGCTGGATTTATTGCCATAATGTAGCTTTATCACTAGCAGAACTCCCAACATAAATGAAGGTAGTCTCAACTTGTAGAAAATTCCATAGAAGCTGAATATTAAGAAATTGAGGTTGATCATCCAAGATCTGAACATTCAGATTCCTTCTATAGAAAAACCAAATTTTGTTATTAATATTGTAATTGCAGTTGAAACTTGGGAAGTGTTTTCTAAATCTGCAAGGGGTACAGTGAACCAAAAGTTCAAGAATAGTAAAACACAATAACCTGTGCTT